ATTAGTGTGTCGATAACGAAGATCCATAATAAAAATTGTGAAAATGCTTGAACAATAATTCTGTTACTTTAATGATTATAAAATTCTGATAAGCCAGTACAAAAAAAAAAAAAAAAAAGATGGACTGGACAAAAAGTTTGTTAACCGCAATGAACATTGTTGTTATTAAAATTTTTCTTTGACGTAATAAACTAAGTGTTGACCCATGATTACAGTATTCAAAAGTTTAATGGCCGAAAGTGCATCTTAAAAACCCACCTAGTATCGCCTCCAAATCTGGTACGTAATCGCTGCTTAAAATTTGATCTAAGCTTGATTAACATGAAACTTACGAAATCACGACTTTTAAAAGAGGAATGATTCATTTATTTATTCGAATCGAATTATTCAAAGAATTTATTTAGTCATTATAAATATTGAATCTTGTTACATCTAAATTGTAATGAATGTTTAAAATGCATTTATCTTCAAGTTCGGTTTTTATATATGAATACATCTGGTTCAAAATCATTAAACAACTATTATTTTTAGATTAATATAAGTTGTCCTCATTTTTATGTATACAGGTTTTAGGGGATAATCTCTGTTTAGGGAATATGATATTCATAAAAGAAAAATTTCGAGTAATATTACCAATCATACTTATTATCGGTGAATGACTAGGTGAGTTATGTTAATACCAGCGACCATGACAGGTCTGGACAGTAGAGCTCATATGATAAATAAATCTAATAAAATACCAAAATTATAGGATTATCACGAAGACTATTAATTAAGTAACCGCAGAAAATAAACGTCTCTTAATATAAATGGCTACTGTAACATTAATTGGTTCCTTTTTCAATCGGTTGTACGTAACATACGTATAATTAATATTAATTCCCACATTGTTTACTATTTACTATTTATATTATTACTCTAACTTAAATTAATTTATATATATATATGTTTATAATAGTCACACGTTTTAAAATAATTGCTTTTTTCAAATTATAAAAGAAATTTCTTTTAAAGTGATCCATTATTTCTGAAAATACCGATAATAAAATAAAGGAATACGTAAAACAATTAAAAATTGTAGTAACGCAGGGTTTCTGTGTGCAGATTCCGCAAGCGTATACTTTTTTGGGGAATTTATCACATAGTTACGGAAAGCAACTCCGTAATGAATTAAAAAAAAAAATTTATGTTGAACATTGTTAATAAAAACACATACATACGTTCTTTTTCAAGTCAAATACGAAAAAAAATAAAACGAAATAAAATGAATTGGCCTGAGAATGCGTCTAAACTTAGTAATGATGAGATTTATGATAAATTGAAAGGATGTATTTTTGGTATGATTATAACTGTTACAAATAAACTTGTTTAGTGATATAATTTCGTATATTTTTGTTTATTAAAGTTTTTCGTTACGTTATTTCTTTAGGTGCTGCATTAGGTGATGCGGTGGGTCTTGCCACAGAATTTTTAAGTAAAGAAAAAGCTAAAAAATTATATGGCATTGGTCCTATATCTTTTGGTAGTGATAAAGGTTACAAATTTTATGCTGATAGACATAGAGGAAAATGGTTTGAGGGTGAATGGACTGATGATACTGGTAGATAAAAAGAATCATATCTTTAATTGAATATAACAATTAAATATTAGTTTGTTTGATTTAATATAAATTTCATTTTGCTTAATAATAATATTATTATTATTTTTATAGATCAACAACTTCTTATTATCGATTCTTTACTTTGCTCTAATGGCAGATTCAATACACGGGATTTCGCAAAGCGTTTAAGCAAATGGGTTGATGATGGATATCCAGAACTCGACAATAAACCACCAAATGGAATTGGTAAAACTGTTGGTACTGTATTGAGACATTCAAAATTCACGAGTCAGCCACATCGTGCTGCTTGGGATACATGGATTCAATTTAACTGTAACATGGCTGCAAATGGTGCTTTAATGCGTACTGCAATATTGGGCTTTCCTTTCTTTTGGGATGAAAAACAAGTAATTAAACAAACTTTACAAGCTACTAAAACTACTCATACCGATCCAAGATGCTGCGTCTCTAGTGTGATTGTTACTATTTTAATTTCAAGATTAATTCAAGGAAATATACAAGAATCCCTTCCAGACTTAGATGATTCGACAAAGCAAAATATATTGTCATGGATGCAATCTGGAAATCCTGATAATAAGATAGATGATAATATTGATAATGATGATCTTCCACTGAACAACGAATCATCAAAAAGGAAAAGCTTTGTTAAGCAAGTAGTAAACAAAGTAGGAACCTTTCTTTCTGATAAAAATGACCAAGAGACATTATGGTATGAACGTCAGAAAAAAATCAATACTAGTTTAAATAGCTCAAAACAAGATCGTGAAGTTCCAAAAATTCCGGATCCTTTACCTCCTGGAATGGACACTTTCGGTGCTGACCCTGAAATACTAGCATTAACAAAATCTGTAGTTGATAGATATAAGTTCATGATCAATACCGCATCATCTAACAAAGTAGAACTTACAAAAGGCTCTCGATTCAGTAAATTTCAGACAGATATGAGCGAAACTGCTCTTTTGCAACATTGTTTTCCCGATACTTTGGCTGATTTGAAATTGGATGAATCCTCAGGCATTGGATATGTTTATAAGTGTCTTGGTGCTGGGTTGTATTGCTTTACGAGAAATTTGAACAAACAAAGTAGTGAAGGTGATGCTTTCAAGAAGATTATCACGGAGATGATACTGGAAGCCGGGTAAATTATTTGCTTAATACAGCTTGATATCATGTGCACCTAATATCTGATATTTATGTATATATTCTTTTTAATCATTTCTTAAAAATTTAGGGACGCTGATACAAATGGAGCAGTAGCCGGAGCTTTATTGGGCTCCAGGATTGGATATAGTAAATTACCTAAAGAATGGGTTGAAGGCTTGAAATTTAAAGACTGGCTAGAAAGGAGAACTGATAGTCTTTGGGCTATTTTATCTAGTAAAGAACAAAAATAACCCGAATTCAGTATCTAGATATGCTTTATATTTTATTAATTTTGATAATTCATATATACGTGTGTTTATTTTGAAAAACTCTCGATCTAAGAAGGTTTCTGTTTATAGTGGTCATTCCACTATAATTTATTTTTTCTAACTTTACAGATACTTTACATAAATTAAATAAATAAATTCTTATAAAAAACTACCTTAGCTGTTTGACGATACAAATCCTTAGCTGTGCGAAGTGATAATATAAACTCCTAAAAATAATCTTTATAAATACGTACTGAAATATTAGAATATTGAAAAAAAATGATAATCAGTAAAAAATTCTGTGATAAGATGTTAGTGCTATAGAAATAAATGCTTACCAAGGAAAAATCCATGAGTGCAAATTTAAGTTTCATCGTATCAGACTTCTGAAAAATTGATATTATAACTATACGATCGATAATCTTGTACATAATACGATTTAGTACGTTTAAAATACTATCGAAAAGATTAGAACACTGACGCGCGATAAATCTAGCATATATTTCGAATATCATATGACCTCCCACGAGATGTAAATAACCTCATACGCGATGAAATTTTGAATTCAGCAAATTATAGATTTGAGTGATAACTTTACTTTCATTTTTTTTTTTTATTTGCACAATAAAATTTTTATTTACCGTTGCTATCTTTAAGCGTTTTATAATAAAAATTATATTAAGAATTTTCTTAATTTATATTCGTGTTAATTTTAAATAAAACAAATGTTTAGTAAGTGAAGTAGTTAAAGACTATTCCTGAATATTTATTATTGTTTCTAGTATACGTATCAATCTGGTAAATTCCATATATGTTTCTTTGAAAACAATTATAAAGAGATATTTACTTACATAATATATTAATTTTTATCATAATAATACATTTTATATATCAAAGCAGATTAGGACATAATTTGTAAAAATGTTAGCATATTTAAGCATAATTGTATATATTGAATGACAACCATGGGAATTTTATATAAACAGTCAGCAATCATAAATCATGAATGTAGTTCAGTGGGAAAGTAGAAAGTAAAATGAGGTTAGATTTTGTAAAATAAGTAAATATTTACTTATTTCACAGAATTTACTAGTACGTATCTATTTGTCTATTAAATATCCAAATCTAATAAAAATGTTAAAATAAATTAATAGAAGAATACCGAATAATTTGATAAATTATTCGGCGAGTTCTAAAGTAATCAACACATATGGGCTGATTTGAGTAATTTATAATTAGGGATTTTTTTTTTTTTTTTTAAACTTTAAAATTTAAAAAAAAACCCCTAATTATAAATTACTAAATCAGCCCATATGAATATAAATCATTTGACAATTACAAGTTCTAAGGTAATTATCAAGATGAAAATGGAATTTCTCTAATTTATCCTATTGATTACCTTAGATCTTGTAATCCCTAATATATCAGATAATTCGGTTTATAGCTGTTTTCATAAACTTTGGGACATCTGGTAAAAATTGACCGAATGATTGTTTGGCCGTTTACATAATAATGAGCATATCTTGCTAATGACAGAGATAATGTATATCGATATCACTATTTTATTTTTGCGATTCAGCTAAGTTGGATACTATTATATTCAGTTGCTATTACTTCAGACAAAGTAGATATTTCAGATTCAAGAGTAGTTACGTACTTCAGACAAGCTAGGCATTTTTAAAATGCTCCTATACTAAAGATTTCTTAGTTGCTAAATCAACCGTTTCAATATTTTCATCTGATTCCTACTGATTTGCTTTTTGGTCTATATTTTAAAAATTATATTACATAAATAAATAAAACACATTTATAGATTTTTACTAAGATTTTGTTATTATAATTTTCAATGCAGTTTCGACAAATATTAATAAAAACTCGGTTGTTTGGAATTATAACTTTAGTTATTTTTTTCTTTAGTTCAGTCAATAAATTCTTGTTCATATCGAAATTTTTTTATAAGCGCCTTCTCGTGTAATATATTTATTATGAAAGCCTATCTTATATTCAGAAACCCTTTTTATTTTTATGTTTTTTTTGTTAAGATCTGTGAGTTGAAAGAACAATCTTAGACATAATTTTCTTACAGGCTAAACACACCAAACATACTGGCATGCATTCAAGCGAAAACTTAATTATGGATGTATTGACGTTATAGTATCGTTCAGAATGCAATCGCAAAAAATATATGTTATTAACGCTATATAATCTAATCACACCAAAGTTTATCACAGCCGAATCAAAAACTTATCGAATCGGGCAAATAACTATTCAATCAATTTTTTTACTAGATGTCCCAAAATTTATGAGAACAGTTGTAATGAGATGAATATCTAGATATAGCATGTCGGTGGTGGATTGGAAGAACGACTTGCTGTGTTAATGTCCGGTGGTTCTACGTTTGCATAAATGAATGCTCTATCAGAAAATGGGCCAAAATATTCTTTCCAGTTTTTTTGATGAACTATCCCTGAACGTGCAGGAAGCTGTGAAGAATCTATCTGAGTTTTTCCAGTTGTTATTAAAAGGAATATATCATTTTTGCCAGCAGCTTTATTTCTTTCCTCAAGATATGTATTTAGTGATATATTGGTTTTGCGATCAAGTTTCTTTATCTGCAAAACCTCGGTGATATTTCTTTCTTGCCCTGCGGATGTTTTTTCTGTGATGTAACAAAATATATCACCAGCAGAAGCACCTTCACCATTTATAATCAAGTGCTGCCCATCGGTTGCATCTATTTTTCCATTTTCATGCATAATAGAAGCTATACTATTGGACTTCGTACTAATTCGGTCTGAAGAATAAACAAGTTTTAGTGACCTAGACTTGAGATAAATGTCATTATCCGTGCGTGAGTCAAATGCACTACCGGGATGTATTGTATGGATAGAAGGTTCTACTTTTTCTTTATATATTCCTGATTTTAATACTCGAAAATCTGCTACAAATCGTTCGAAATTCTGCCAAAGCTGTGCACCTAAAGAAACTTTTTCAGGATTATGGAGGTGTTGGATTTCATTATAATCATCAAATCTCCAATTTAAAAGAATTGGGTCATTAACAGCACGTGCTATCAACCATAGCCACACGTAAGGGCAAGTCAATCTGCCAAACGCGCTATTTTTTTCAGCTTCAAAACGAATTAAGCCCATCTCAGCAAATTGATCTGGGCGAAGATTGGTACCTGGCACAGGACAATTAATACTAAGTGGTGTGCTACTCAAAATTACTCGTAGTAATTCTTTGTAAGAGTCAGCATTATCAAAAACATCTGAATAAAGGTCTTCTAATTCCATAGCCAACTGATGAATTATGTCATTAGCACAACAACGATCATCTAAATTTGATGGGATCACTTGCCCTAATGCTTCTAGTGCACGACCATTACCACCCATATCTCCAACAAGAATCTTTACGAGTGGTTTTTCCATATCAAATACTGGTTTATGAAAACGGCCAGGAGCCTTTAGTTGTGGAATAGGTAATTGAATACGTAATTGACGAAATTTTGCTAAAATATCCCTCATGGGCTTCATGCTTGTTGCAGAGCAGCATCCGATAATGAATGATTCGGAAGTAATTATAAGGTTCGCTACTTGTGAAAGGCATGAATAAAATTTGCTACCTATGTCCAACCCATCATCAGAATTTTCCATTAGCCTGTGAACACCATCAAGCAGCAAAAATACTGTCAGGTCACTAGTCTTCTGATGCCTAGAACGAGCAATACGTTTTAATATGATATTTGGATTCAAATGATGCTTCTTGTTTCCTTGAAATTCTGTAAAATCAATGTCAGTTTTTGGTTGCAACTGCCATAACATTCGTATACCAATTGCAATTAATGGATTTTTTTCTATATCTGGAACATAACTTGTTCCATTTTCGAAGCTTATATTGAATATTAAAAATCATTAAAGTAACAGAATTATTGTTCAAGCATTTTCACAATTTTTATTATGGATCTTCGTTATCGACACACTAAT